TCCTCGTCCTTTGAATCCAACTTGCCTGCATTTTTGCTGATGCACACAACAGTATCCCTCAGTCTATTAACTGCCCAAGAGAGCCAAACCAGCCCAAAGCCAAGTGCAGTGCTAAAAAGTTTAGATGAACAGATGGACACCCTCCCACAAGCTACTTTACAAATGATGGAGAAAAGAACAGCTAGCCCTGTCCCAGCAATGCAAGCAGAGAACTGGTTCAGGAGCTCAGGGAGTTCCCCACCAGATTTCCTGATAGAGAGAAGTGCCATTTTTCCATCCAGTCTCTTGTTCATCATTAAGGAAAGTAAACTCTCACATGCATGGGAGAAGTTCTTTTTGTAGAGATCCCTCTCTTTTCCAACCTTCTTAGAGGTTTTCTTCTTTGCTGATGGCTTCATCTTAGTTTTTTCAGGACTGTAAGAATAGTATAGCGATAAAATGTAAGGACAGGAGAAGTAAGCATCTTAAGGAAGGAACTTCAAAAGAAATGCACCAATGGTGATCAAATTTCATCACTCTTAAACCGTAAGAAATATATATAGTAATATATTACTTAGAAAGGTTTAGTACTAAAGAACCCTGTTTTACAGTCTGGACTGTACCAGACTGTGAAATAGCAACCAGTGGATGGGGGGAGGGCCCCCTAATATGGGGGCCCAAACACCATCCAATGGTCAGTGTTGTGCAGTCCAGTACGGTCTGGACTGCACAACACTTTTTCCTAAGTAATATGAGAAATTAGAACATAAGATACCAAATTAAACATGTGGGTCAGATCCTATCATGTTCACACTTATGTGATACATCATTTCTGTTCCCACAATCTTATATTGAAGACTTTGAGTTATTATACTCACTATTACTAAATTATTTCTATATTTTCCACTGATCAAAATATTATCTAAAGAATTACATAAAAGAAAAGTCACTTTTCTCTGTTGGTCACTTAAAAAGAAATATGATTTGAATTAAGGATTTAATAACCTTTTTTTTTGGCCTTCAAGGATTTAATGGCTTTCAAGATCCCATTTTTTTTTTTTATTATTATTTTTTTATTTTTATAAAAATCCAGATATTCAAATTTTATTTTGTTCCATCATTCCCAAAACATATAAATGAGTTAGATACCTCTTTGTTGGTGCGACAGTCACAGTATCCAACTTTTGAGAAGACAAGCTGAGAGCAGCCCGTGCTTTGCGGCTTTTAGGCCTGTTTCATCAGAAAAGGGTAGGGTCAGATACACTAGTACAATATTAACAAGCAACAAGCCATAAATGAATATTAAATTAATCAATTCATTAATTGTACAGGTCAATTATACTTGCTCATTTTCAGTTAAATCAACCAGGTGAAAGAATCAAATACCTATCAAAATATGGGACCAGCATAGGCTGCTTGCTTGACATGCTTGAGTTTTTTGACAAGTAAAATTCACCTACTATTGAAAGGATATCTTTCATCTCAGTCCCACAGCCTGTGACCAGAACTCGACCATCTGGACTAACAGTAAGTTTTGACTTACAAACCATATCCCCAATAAAGTCCAGCAAAAGCTTGTCATTATCAACTCTGACACTGGGGTAAATTAGAGATGAAGCAAGTTCTGGCTGATGCACATCAAGCAACAATGGTTGAAGACTTGGATGAAGCTCCATCAAGTTGGATAATGAGGATAAATCTAATCCACCCTTCTCCCCTTCACTCAATCCAGATGTAAGAAACCTTACAATTTTTTCATGTCTTGCACATTTTTCAGCTATCCCGGAGCTAAAGAGTACTGAGTGAGAGCAAGTCTCTGTAACCAAAACAAGGCAGCATGTCAATGCCATGCAATTCCAACAAAGTATAACAAGCACTAATGCAAGTACAGAATAAGGAAATAAAATCACCAAAGTTTCTGGCACATTGTCCTACCAAATCCCCAAAAAGAGTTTGGCAGGATCATTACTTAAAATAACATGTCATCCTTCCCCATGACAAATCCTCCTTCAACTGATTGAATCAACCTAACTAAATCCTCATTCAGTTTCCTTAAAACACTGTCACTCACTCTCTGAATTGACATAGTTTTGCATGGATTCTTCTTCCCATTCACATAGTTTTGTAAGCTGTATATGTTGATTATGCATATAGTATCTAACACCATAATGAAATAAATAAATGGCGAATCATTCATGATAATATAACAAGTTTAGAAGAAAGTAAGCAAGACTAAATAGAATATTATGTCATCTACTGCATCTTCAAATGCCTCTAGCAATAGAAATCATTAAAATGAACTTCAAAAACTTTTCCACTCAATAACTTGCAAGTTACGCACCTTGCATGTCAATAACCAGGGGCTTCCCAACGGATGACGCAAACTTTTGAAGCTGGTTAGACATGGCAATTGGTTTCCATGGATCTTGGTATTCATTTGGCCTCAGATTGCAGACACCAGATTGTATTAGGCCTTGCCTTGCTTCCTGAAAAGAAGGGGGAAATTCCTGTTTCAAAAACCATTATAAACCTTTTATCAGTAAGCTTACTCAAAAATCTAATCCTAGAATATCCCGATATGTAAGCCTATTCAATATTATAAACAGAGAATTAAGATTGCCATTTGAATATCGTGATAGTTATTTTCAACTTTAATTCCTCAGAAACCTAGGTAATCAAATCTTAAATTAAAAAAACACCATATGGCTGCACAAATTCTAACCTAAAATGATTTGCAGCAAGCAGCAAAGAATACAAAACATGGACATCCATTTCTCCAATACAAGAACACAACAAATCCATATGCAATCACTTAGAAATAACCAGATTAGAAAACCGATTGGATACAACAAGCAAACATGTATAAGAACCAGTTATAATCAAAACTTGCAACATAAACTCATTAACCTGAAAAAGGTCAACAACCAAAATAACCATATGCTCTCAACTCCAAGAAAACTCAATTGAAATCAAAGATATATCTCAACAACCCAAATCCCTAAAATCTCTAAATTTACCTTGATTGTCCTGGTGAATCCCTGCTCTTGATGAGGAGGGTACCCATAAGAAGCCATCAAACAAAGCTTAAGCATATTTTTCGAGAGAAACCCAGTTTAGAAATGGACTTTTTGAACCCTAATCACCCCTTTTTCTTAACTTCCCTCACTCCACCGCAAACTTCTCCATCTCCAGACCCTCAAAATCTGTATCTTTTCATAAAGCTGATTCCTTTACGAATTTAAGTGGCCCTGAAAATAACAGAAAATTAACAACTAAGAATAGAAACTCCTACCCCTAGATTGATGTGATATAATTATCTGATCAAAAATCGATGTGGGTTTGGGATCTGTGGTGCACGAGCTGCCTTGAGGATCCACGGCACGACGGCACCGAGAAACCGACGGATCTGTCAATTCATCATTTGGGAACTTTCTCGAACTCAGGTTTTTTTTCCGTGTGTCGCGGAGTACTTTACTCGTTGACTGTTTCATCTCTGACCGCTGATTGGCCACGTGTTGGTGATGATGGACCGTTGGATATGTCTTTGTTTTGATTGGAGAAGTTATTTGGGTGTGGTGGATATACATCGTAAAGGGAAAAATCTGGATGGGGTCCACAAGCCCTCCCCACTTGACATTTGTCGGATTCTTAAAGATGTGATTAGGATTTGAACACATCATGTCTTCGATCACCAGAATAGATTTGTACTATTTTTCTATTTATTTTTAGTAATTTTATTTTAATTTTTTTATTTTTTAAATATAAATTTTAAATAAAAATTTAATAATTTACATAAATAATAATTAAATAAAAATTTAATAATTTACATGAATAATAATTAAATTATTTT